CTCTGTAGTAAATCCTACATGAGGTCATCTAGCCTGTGTCAGAAAACCTCCAATGAGGGAACAAACTACTTCCCAGAGCAGCCCATGTCAGCAGAAAAGTTGCTGAAAAGTCTTTCTTAAATACAAAATGTAATACAATAGTATGTAATAATGGCATGTTGAAAAATGGGAACACATTCATTTGATCTAACCAGAAAGCTTAATAAAAATGTTTTGTATATATCAGACATTGTTTTCTAACATAATCACTACAATTATGACTATTGTTAAATATGTGCACTTAAAGAGTCAGGATGAGGCAAATTTTGGAATTACCCAAGGTCAAATCAATGTCTAGCCTAATCTAAAAACTGATAGTATGAAAAGCTGTGAATGAAGAATGTCTTTTGTCCAGGTTTCAACATGCATCTGAATGGACACTCCATAGAGCTTGTCCAACAGTACATAAATTTGGAACAGACAGTACAGATGGATGATTAGGGCCTGGAGTTGAAAATATGAGAGGGGGCTTGATTGCTCTGGGGAAGTTGCAAATTGCAAAGGTCTTCTATTGCCCAAGCTTCCTATGAAAGCAAAGGACCATCTTCTTAATACTAACATTCGACTATGGTTGCTACATGGCAGTGAGATATGAGATATAAAGAACTACGGAGGAGTGTGACACAGAGGGCAATGAATGCATGATGAGTGTGAGTATGCTGAAACATACAACTAACAATAAACTCCTCAAAAGAGCAAGAATCAAGGATGTCATCAAGAATTGTGTGATGGGAAGGAAACATGGCCTGATCAAGGGGCAAGAGTGAGAGATGGCAGGTGGGTATATATGTAGGTGCATACCCTGCCACTCTCAAGCAAATTTCTCCCATCAGTATAGACATTATGCCTTAGTAGAGTACTCTATCTTCTACAGAGAATTCCATGAATGAAGTGAAATATGGAGGACTATGAAGGGTTTAGAAGCTTTATGACTGCACAATTTGGTTCAATATGTGAGAAGGTATTCAAATAAAAATTTAAAAAATATTTTGCTTTCACCCTAGAATACGGACAGTTTACAGCCACCATTATAGTCAAACTTCTTTGGGTCAATCTGACTATGATGGAAGGAAAGGAAGGAATGAATGAAGATTTCATGGCAAATTATAGGAAATGTCATATCAGGGTACTAAGAAAACTAAAAATAATCTACAAGAATTTAGTTTACTTTGCAAACTGTAAATATACACTGAAACATGATATCCCAGACTATTAGAATGAAGCTTTTTGTCTTACGATGAATCATAACAAAATGTTAGCAATTATTTATTTTTAAGTTCATCAAATATTTGATTTTATGAGATCACGTGAATCGGCAAAAGACAGTATCAGTGAATTTGACATCTGTGTGTGTGCACGAGGTAACTTTATACTATTTTTTAAAAAATTATTATTTTTTTTTGGCACGGTGGGCACATCCCAATATCCAATCAACTTCAACCCACAGGACCTGCCGTACCCCTTCCCCATCACCATGTTTAGTTAAGCGATAGCTCCTAAAAGAATAACTTACAGTACACATAATTTTCCACTTTTTAGTTTACCATTTCATAACAGAAATTGTGCTTTAACTCAATAATTTGGTACAAACATTGTCCATTATGCTGAATCTGAGTAAGTTGACTTTAAATGTCTTCATTTACACACTTGCAATTGTGGTGCTTACTGTTTCTTTGGTTTTGCTTTTCTCAGTCTGTACTGGTTCCATATATGCCTCCCCATGTTTTTACATTCTTCGTATTAATATTCACTATGACACATGCATTCATATACCACAATTTGTTAAGGTACTTACTTCCTAGTGGTTTGGAACATAGCTTGTTTCACATTTTTTATTTTTGTACCCGAGTCTTTTCTTGCTGCCACTAACCTCATATAGGTATAAAATCTAATACTGGGGATTGCTGTGTTAAAAGGAACGAACCATTTAGTATATTTTCTTACATAACTCAACTCTTTTCTGGACTTGTCAAACCAATTCACAGCTTTACTCACTGTGGGTTAGTGTGCCTGTTTTTCCACAGCCATTCCAACATTGAATTTTTCAATCTTTTACTATACTTGTTGATTTGATGGGATTGATATGACACCTGAGAATTGTTTTAATTTGGATTTCTCTGAGTTTCAGACACTTTGAACAAATTTTCATAGTCTGTATTTCTTTTTTTGAAAACTGTTCATAGCCTAAGTTCCCATATACAGGGGAATGGTTTTTAATGTTATAGACTTATGTTAATTTATTATAGATTTTGAATGTCAGACATTAATCAGTTATACCCTTTAATCTTTATTAATTTTGTTGGTATAAAAGTTTTGAAATTTTCTCTATAATTTAAATTTTTCTCTTTTGTCTTTTACAATGTTTTCTATATCAAAGTTATGAATTCTTCTCTTATTCAGAGTTTTGAGAGGTAAAACTTTCTATTCTTTTCTAACTTTTAAACATTTTGACTTTTTATATTCATCATTTTAACTATTTGAATTTTATTCTGGTATCTGGGATAAAATGTCAGTCTAACCCATTAAGCCTCAAATTGTTTTCCACTGTTCTCTGTAGTTTCTGTCAAATACAGAATTTCTTTCCTAGTAGTCAGGCTATAAATTACCAATTTCTTTCCATATTATCTTGCTTATCTGTTAGGTTTTTGTCATTTGGCAGATGTGTACGTCAAAGCCTTCCTGGCTCTGCCTTCCCAGCTCTGCCTTCCCCTCCTCTCCCCCAAGAAAAATAGAGAAAAGTCTGAGATCATATGGATAATCTATCTTTCCTCATGAAGGCAGTATGCTCAGTTTTGCAAGATATACAGGCATACCTTGGAGACACTGCAGGTTCAGTTCAACACCACAGCTATAAAGTGAATACTGCAATAAAGCGAGTCACTAAGTTTTTGGTTTCTCAGTGCATATAAAAGTTATGTTTATACTATACTATAGTCTATTAAGTGTACAATAGTATTATATCTAAAAAAAACTATACCTATCTTAACTAAAAAAATATTTTTTTGCTACAAAATGCTATCATCCAAGCCTTCAGCAAGCTGTAATCTTTTTGCTGGTGGAGGGTCTTGTCTCAGTGTTGATGGCTACTGATTGATCAGGGTGGTGGCTGCTGAAGTTTGGGGTGGCTGTGGCAATTTCTTAAAATAAGATAGCAATGAAGTTTGTTGCATTGATTGACTCTTCCTTTCACTTGACCACTTGGAAGTCACTGTAGGGTTATTAACTGATCTAATTTCAATACTGTGGTTTCTCAGGGAATAGAGAGAACCAAGGAAAGGGAGAGAGATGGGGAAATGGCTGGTTGGTGGAGCAGTCAGAATACACACAATATGTATCATTAAGTTCACTGTCTTATATGGGTGCGGTTCCTAGCACCCCAAAACAATTACAATAGTAACATCAAAGATTACTCATCACAGATCATTCTACCTGATATAATAATAATAATAAAGTCTAAAATATTGTGAGAATTACCAAAATATGATACAGAGACATGATGTGAACATATGCTGTAGGAAAAATGGCACCAATAGACTCACTCAATGCAGGATTGCCACAAACCTTCAATCTGTAAAAAATGCAGTACCTGCAAAGTGCAATAAAATGAAGTATGCCCATACAATTTTGGATGTAGGCCTATTTCATTTACTTTTTGGTGCAAAGGGAAGAGTAGAATATTTATAGTCAAAGGATATACGTTCAAATCCCTCATAACCTGTATGATGTTGGGCAAGTCACTCACCCTCTCTGAGTTTCAGTTTCCTCATTTTAAAATGATGAGGTTGGACAATATGACCCATAAGATTTCCTCCAGAATTATCTATGACCTTCATGGAACATTGTATTCCATACTTCTCTTTCTCTTCAAAAGAATAATACTTGAATGATTGAAAGTTAGGCTTTTTGATGTGTGAATTGTTTCTTCCTTTCTGCTTCCAAGATTCCCTATCTTTGATATTAAAGTTGTGGAAGTTGTTGTCTATATTTCCAAGAAAATTTATATTGGGGTTCCTCTAACTGCTCTGGGTAGAGTCTATTGATCTATATTTCCCCCATCAGTCTCTAGTACTTTCAGGCAATTTTCTTATATAATTTTCTGTAATATTGTATTAGGTCTCTTTGTGTCATTATGGTTTTTTTTAAGAGTCCAATCATTTTTAGCTTGTCTTAAAAAGTTCTGTCTTCAAGGCATTTGCTTTGTTCAGTTCTCAAGTGTTCTTCTATGTTTGTTGTCTTTCCTCTATTGCCATGGGATGAGTTCTATCCTTGCTTTTTCATGTTCCATCTCTGCCACTCTCTTAGAAAGCCCACTGCTTTATTGAAATATTTTACTTCTTGTTCTAAGCAATTAAGGCTCATGTTTGTCCATATGTTAAGAGATTTTATTTTCATCTGGATAGCCATCAGATCTTTTCATTCTTGTTTTTGTTGCAGTATTAATTTTTCCTTCTACAGATTTCTTCTTAATAGTTTGTAGTTCATTGAATTTATTTATTATATTTGGAAGTCTTTTTTACTTATTTCTTTAGTTTCTTTGCCAATTTTTTTGCAAGGATTTCCTTACTTTCACCTATGTTATTTTTTTTTTTACTTTATTTGGTGCATTTGTTGTTTGAAGGTGGTGAAGAGGAGTTCAGCATAGACAGGACTACTCATTCCACCATCTTTCTGGAAGTCCCTGACTTTGATTTTAATACAACAATTTGATTTTAATACAAAACATATTGCACAGATGTTTAACACAACAATTTAATACAGATCAAAAATGACAAAGAGGTGGAGATATCGTAATGTGGCAAGATGGCCACATGAAAAAGAGTAGACAATGACTCTGGCTAACTTCAAAATTCTACTTGTATAACTAAGTGATTCCACATACACAACATAAAATTCTTAGTGGTTGAGTTGAAACAAAAACTTCATTTTGTTTCATTAATTTTTTAGGAACAAAGATCCTTTACCTTATGAAATCTTCTTCCTCTTCTCTCTTAGGTCTCAGCTGTTTGGGTTGAGCCATATTAGTCCAGTTTGGCAGAGATTTTAGAAGTCTGCTGATGTCATCATCTTTTGCCCAGGATGCACTGATTACTAGTTTCTCCTCTGATTGGGCAATACTCCTAAGCATAAGGGGGAAAAAATCATGCACTTTAATCAAATTTATAATAAAGCATTCCTTATCCCCATTCCTTATTTCCTTTGTGATGAAAGTTATTATCCTCCTCTTTCTCACGAAAAAATCTATTGTATGAGTGTGGAGGTAATGAGGTATGATGGATAAGGAATCATAACACTTAGATTGGCTTCAACTTACACAAAGTCACTAAACTAAAGGGCCATATTGGGCATCAATTTCCAGAAAGCAGATGCAGAGGGCACTAAGGATGAATAAGATACCATCTGTAAGTCCTTTTGGTCTCGTTAAAGAAAGATATTAAATAAAGAGTGACCATGATAATCCATAACGTAGGGTTATTATTGAGTTACTGAGCATGGATACCACGTAGAAAGTAACAAAAACTCTATAAACACACATCGGCTATAACACTTTTAAGACAACATTTGGGATTAAGATGGAAGTCCACCTCTTGACTTCTCACTTTACCACCAGGGTCACATAGGGACCTTTTGTCACCCGTACATTATGAGGCCCATCATCATCAACTCGCCACTTTTCTACCTGCCTGACATTAGTTATTGGGTAGAAATAGTCTTTGATGATATTATCTTGGAGACAGTTAAACTAATGACCCAAAGTTAAAAGACTCCATGTCCTTTTATAAATGCCCTGGATTACTTATTTATACCTCTTCTTACCTCTTCTTTATTTTTACCTATTCTTTATTCATACCTCTTCTTTAAAACTACATTTAGTGTTCAGTTTCATCTTAATTATAATTATTGGCTTCCCATTTAATATTTGTGTCAGAAAAACTAATTTCTATGGCCCCGAATCTTGCTAGTAATTCTACTGACATAATTGATATTTATTTACTTAGGAAGTACTAATTTGCCACTGATTAAACAACTGAATTCAACAACTGAGCAAATATTCATCATGCACCTACTATGTACAACTGAAGATAACAAAGGCTACAAGAAATTATAGGCAAGTTTATAACAACAAGACTTTTTTTCTTCACCAACTGACTCTTGGACATTTTAAACTTAATTTTCTGGTGATACCTCAAACTCACTATGTCTAAAACAAAACTCATTATCTTTTCCCCAAACCCTCTTCTCTCCCGAAGTTTCCTTCCGGTCACCGAAGCTTGCTGGCATCAGTGCCATCATCACCTCTTCTCTTGCACTTACTTCACATGTGCAATGTTACTAATTCTGTAACACCTTCCATAACATCACTTTCTCTCCAGTTGCACAGCCACTACCCTGAAGTCAGCCTTCATTACTTCAGGCCTGGACTACCGTAAGAGCTTTCTGGTTGGTCTCCCTTTCTCGGATCTCTCTAGTCTATCTTCCACTCAGCTGCCAAAATGATCATAACAAAGCATAGATCTGACCTTCAAAGCTCCAACCTCATGAATTCCAGCAGATCCCATCTAAAATGCTCTGCCTGGTATTTTCAGTCTTTCCCAAATTTGCTCCATCCTATCTTTCCAGCAGTCTTATCTTCTGCTCCCTTTCACATGCTGATACCACAACACTGGATTTCTCACTATTCTTGAGCATGAAGCTCCCTCTCTTGATCCTGTACTTTTGCAGTGGCTGTTCCCTATGCCTAGAAAGCTTTCCTTTCATCCTTCTTCGTTTTCCAGGCTTCAAGCGTCAGCTTAAATCTTTCCTTTTGCAAAAGGTCTTGCTCTCTCACAACCAATGCAAGTGCTATCTCCCTCTCAGATTATCTCCCAGTTATACTGGATGTATCATGTTGGCATGTTGTCTCTTCCATTGGAATGTGAGCTCCCCAAAGGCAGTAACTGTTTTTGTTAATTTTCTTTTTATTCCTACTACTTAGCCTGGCACACAGTGTTTAATAAATGCTTGTTGACTGATTGGCAAGGGGGAACTTCATGCACATTTTTCTCCTTTAAATGAAATAGATTTATCAGCAAAAGAGATATATTTACTTAATCCAAATGATGAATTTAGGATGGGAACTAACAAAGGAGATTATCAGAAGCTTTCAAAGTCCGATTTTGAGCCTATTGTCCTTTTTGTGCTGTGATTTTGAGGATGCTTTCCCCCCTAACGGCAAGCCAGAATTTGCCTCCTTACAACATCTACCCACTGCTTCCGGTTTTGTCTGCTAGGGCTAAGTAGAACAAATCTAATCTCTCATCTACTTGGCAGTCCTTTAAATACTTGAAGATGGGGCAGGTAGGTGGTGCAGTGGATAGAGCACCAGCCCTAGGGTCAGGAGGACCTGAGTTCAAATCAGACATTTCACCCTTACTAGCTGTGTGACCCTGGGCAAGTCACTTAACCCCATTGCCTAGCAAAAACAAATAAATATTTGAAGACATCTATCATGTTCTCCCTATATTTTTTCTTCTTTATGCCAAACATTTCCAATTCCTCCATATATCCTTCATACAGCATAGGCTCATTAGCATAGGCTAACACGGAAATACTTATTATCCTGGATGATTTCTTCTGAGCACTTTTAATTTATCAATGCCCTCCTTAAACTGACCCAGAATTGAACAAAGTACTATGGATGAAATTTGAAAAGGGCAGAGCACAGAGGTACAGACTATCAGATTACCCCCTCACTCCTAGTAATGATGTCTTTCTCAATGCATCCCACGATGGCATTAGTGTTAGGCTGCTATATCACAGTGCTAACTCAAACTGGATTTGCAATCCATTAAAACTCCTAGATCTAAACATGTTTTCCCTATATTATACTTGTGGAAGTTGATTTTTGGGTACCCAAGTACAAGGCCTTACATTTATTCCAATTGCTTTTTATCTTATTACAATCAGGTCAATTTTCTGTCTGTCAAGATCTTTTTGTATTTTATTCTCCACTGAATTAGACATACTTTGTAGCTTAGCGTCACCTACACATTTAGTGAACATGCCATCTATGGCTTTATCCAAGACATTGATAAAAATGTTAAATAATAAAGAGACAAGGACAGATTGCTGAGGTACTCCAGTGAAGACTTCTTCTTTACTGACATCACACCATCACTGATTACTCTTTGACTCAAGTGATCCAATTATTATTGCATACATATAATCATTTATAATAGTACGGACTTATCCTTGGTCTCTATTATCCCTCCAGGTTCGATGTCATGAAAAACTGCTTAATGGGAAAAAAAATCAAAGACAGGAAATAGTAACTAGAAGGGATCATGCCAATACATCAGCTAGAATTCTTAAGAAAAAGATAGACACAAATTTGCTTGGATGGGTTACATGCAATTTGATCTAGAGACAAGGAGTGATAACTTTCAGTTTTGGGAGTCTCTGTAACCTACTGTCATCCCCTTACATGATTCCTTTCCTTCTCTGGTGTTTATACACATTCAAAATCTCTTCATTAAAGGACTTAGTCAAGTGATCAAGTAATTTGGCACTTAGGCAAATCACTTTTTCTTTATGCAAGCATTCACTGTCAGGTTCTTTTCAATAGTGAGAAGGAATTTAACTGCTACAAATCAGAATATTCTTTGGGGAATGCATATGGCAGTCTAGACATATTCGCACAAGAGTGACTGAATGGACACAGGTGTGCCCTGCTTTGAGGTAATCCAACATAAGAAATCCTAATGTACAAAATAAAGAAATTAAGGGGTTGAATGCAAGTTTGATAACAGTCAGTAGTGTGACATGGCAACCTGAAAAAGCTAATTTGAATGTGAATTTGTGCTGCCTTAATGCAAGCATGTTGTGCAGAATGAATGAAGCTATTCTCCTGTTGTAGTCTTTCCTCCTGAGTTATAGAGTAGATGTTCAGTTTTGAATTCCACGTTTTTGAAAGGACATTAACTGAATGAAGTATACATAGAAAAGATCTATCTGACTGTGATGGAGTACTGTTGTGATATAAGAAATAATGAGAAGGTTGGTTTCAGAAAAAAACATGGCAAGACCTATATGAACTGATGCAAAGTCAAGTAAAAAGAACCCGGATTAACAGCATTGATGCTCAAGTCAATTCAACAGCAATGATGAGCAACTGCGAGACAACTGCTGTGATCAATATAATGATCTAAGACCACTATAAAGTACTCATGACGAAGAAATGCTATCCACATCCGGAACCGAGAAATTCAGAGTGCAAATTAAATGATCATTTTCTCACTGTTTTTGGCCTTTATTGCAACATGGCTAATATGGAAATGTTTTGCATGATCTCACATGTATAATTGATATAATTTTTCTTGCTTTCTCAGTGGGTGGGGGAGGAGTGCAAGAGAGGGAGAGAATTATAGAATTCAAATTTTAAAAGAAAAAGAATGTTAAAAATAAAGAATAAACTTATTTATAAAAAAAAAAAGAAAAGTATTACAAGGATGGTTAGGGGACCTGAAACTATGCCAGGCAAAGATTAAATAAAGGAACTAGGGCTATCTAGCCTGGAGAAGATAAAAGTAAAACTAGGATATCAACTTTTCAAGTATTTATAAGACTTTCACATGGAAGAGGGATTAAAACTGTTTTTACTGTAGTCCAGATAATACAGCAATGGGAAGAAATTACCAGGAGGGAGGTTTTGATTCATTATTAAATTGCAAGAAATTTCTTAATAATTAGAATTGTCCAAAAATGAAATGTGATGCTTGATTAGGTAATGATTTCCACATCTTTAAAGCCTTCAGGTCAAGGCTGGAAGACTTCTCATTGAGGATCTTGCCAAGAGAATTTTTGCTTGAATCTGGGTGGGAATAAAGTTATGGAATCTCAGAATTCTGGAAGGGGCTTCAGGGGTCATCTTGAACGAACCTCATCTGAAGCATGAATTCTTTTTATAACATCCTTTACAACTGGCCATTTAGCTTTCATTTGAATTCCTCCAGTAACAGGGCACTCACAGTCTCTTCCAGTTCTGAGATTCCGTATTTTCATAATTACTGACATGTCTCACAGAAGTACAGAAGCCAGCCTAGTTGAAGCAGCAAATCACTTTGAAGGGGAGAAGGGAAAC